TTCTAACCTAAACTTCTTTTACTTAGTACTACACACACTTAAAAGAATCCAATAAAACACCTACAGTAAAATAAAATTAATATGAAATGCCAGAAGATGTAAGCTTTTGAATGACCCATGTCCTTTGTACTTACATGAGAAACAATATATTACTAGGTTTATATAAAACATAAAAGTTTAATAAATCAGTGAAATAAAGTAACTATTTTTGCCGTCATTGTCATAAATTTTACTTAAATAATATTTAAATACAAAAAAAAAATTTTGTAACCTAATATACATACTTATACTTGATGTAAAAATAATTCTACATACTATAAGGGATTCTAATACATTTAATTGTTCTTAAAAAATATAGTATAATAAAAATTAAAAATTAAAAATTAAAATATTTCAAATCGTAGTTAAATAAAACGTATTCTAACCTAAACACCCCCAAAAATCTTTAAATATACAAATAGAAAAAAATGCCGTAAGAATTTTTGCCGTTAACAAAAAAAAAAAAAAAATCCAGACGACATGCATTCAACGGATGTCAGATTTCATTGAAAAATACATCCCTAGCCCCCTACCAATAACGGATACAATAATACAGACATAATGAACACTCAGACACACCTTGTCCAGTTGAAGTAGATTTATCTGTAACCTTGGAAACGTCAATTATGATTTTAGGTGTGTCTTTAAAACCCAGTAATTTTAAAAGATACTCCAAAATTCGCTTGAGGATGAAATGGAACTAAAGTCTTTAATTTAATTACAAAATAAAATCCGTAGCTTTTAGCTTCCATTTTTGAAACATGGTTAGAACTCTGTAGCGAAAAAAAACATATTTTAAATAAATCAATTTATAATATTAATGCTCTGTAAATTTACATTGAGCACTATTTTATAAAAAATAAATATATCTATAAGAACACCGGATTATATATCTTACTGTTCTTTCTTTATATATATATATATATATATATATATATATATATATATATATATAAAGGCATAAAAAGCAAGATATTTTACATTGTAGGCCATGGTAGATTTAAAACAAAAACAAGAAAAGGAAAAGAAAAGAGAAAGTCTTTCATGGATGACATGAATGACTTTTTTCTTTTTTTTTCTCTCTCTCTCTGTCCACTCATTCATGTCATCCATGACAGAGGTTTTATTTTCCTTTTCTTCATAATTTTAGTTCCCCGTTAACAGTTCTGATGAGAGGGGACGAAACCGGTCGACTGGTATGTGTTTTTGTTTTAAATCTATCATGGCCTACAATATAAAATTTCTTGCTTTTTATGCCTTAATACGCTTCTGTACTGTTTCAACACACACACACACACACACACACACACACACACATATATATATATATATATATATATATATATATATATATATATATATAGTGGGGAGGGTTATTGGTCTGCACGGATGTAAGTACATACTTTCCGTACGTACATTCTTTGCCGAATAGACAAGCGTTTGTTTCGATTAGAAAGAATACTTTCTAAGAAAATGTTTTCATTTGATCACTGAAGCACCTGACAATTCAGACCGTCAAACACAGGAAATCCTTTCTCGTGAACATAAACAGTCAAAGGGCTTTTGTGTTCCAATCCTGTGCATAGTATTACATATATACACCGCGGATTACATACTTGTGTGCTTGACACTAGGTTGGTAGGTCTGTGTATTTTTCGATTTCCTTCATGCTTGCTCATATATATGTAACTATGGTACGATGTAAGTATAAATTGATATACTACCCACACGCACAAACACACATGCACATACGTATATATATATATATATATATATATATATATATATATATATATAGAGAGAGAGAGAGAGAGAGAGAGATAGATAGATAGATAGATAGATAGATAGATAGATAGATAGATAGATTAACCACTTACGCTACCATGGTGTAAACCACTGAAGTCTCGACAGGCGGGAATGAGCCTCTACCACCTAACGAGACCTCAATGGTTGCACCCATGGTAGCGTAAGAGGTTGATCTTTCTATTTTTCAATATATAATATTTAAGAGCACTGAACGTCCGATTTTTGGATTGTGTATCGAGTACTTTTTAATATAACTGTCCGCTGGTGTGATTCAACACTTGTCAACAAATGTATAACTATATATATATATATATATATATATATGGAGAGAGAGAGAGAGAAAGACAGATTAAATATTAATAATAACGTATATACGAGTGCTTGCATATATATATATATATATATATGTGTGTGTGTGTGTGTGTGTGTGTGTGTGTGTAAAATAAATAAAATAAAACCTAATGAGCAAGGTACTACCTACCTAGGTTTCACCACATGGGATCATCAGGATGAACTGGCTTTGTACCAGAGATTTAAGGTACTGGACGATTTCTTTCGTCCTGAGTCTGTCTATATTTCTGAGATGAGGTATTATGTACATTATTTACATTATTCGGACTATTGTCCTCATCTTTGTCGCCATATTTATCGCAACCATTCGGCCGTTGTACGCTCCGGCCTTCTCAAGGACACATGGCACAGTGGATAAAGGCGTTGGTTAGATCCAGTGACAGGACCCAAAGAGTGTGTGGTCAATACCCGGTTAAGGCAATAGAGAACTTTCAGAGGGAAATTAGCAGGAGATAACTGATAACTGGCATCCATCAAATATGGCACGTGGAACTAGAACAGTCTACCCCAGTGAGCGAAATAACGGGTTCAGTTCGAAATTCCAACCACCTGAAGAAGGCCGGAGCGTACAACGGCCGAAACGTTGTGATAAATATGGCGACAAAGACGAGGACAATAGTCCGAATAATGTAATTAGTGTTCTTTCGTCCTGTTCAGAGGTTCCTAGTGCTTTCTTTTTTTTCATTTTATCTCTGATGCCAATTTATTTTGAACTTGTGTTATCCAGGTTTTTTCACCCATCGAGTTTGAATAGATTTATATTTTATATATATATATATATATATATATATATATATATATATATATATATAGAGAGAGAGAGAGAGAGAGAGAGAGAGCAATCCCTCTTATATATAAGTTTTATTAAAGACAACTGACGAAGTACTGAGATTAAGCCTTTTTTATTCAATTTGTCTCGTACAAAAAAGCTCCATATTGATTTTAAAAAATTATCCTCGTTAATGCCTAAGAGAATAACCGAAATCCCCCGGATATATGCAGGGTGCGATTCCTAAAGTGTCGTCTAAATTACGCAAAATTAAAAAAAATTGTTGCTGATAAGTATATTTATTAAAATTAAACAAAAATATCTTGAAATACTAAAGAGTAAATTCATTCAATAAAATCGCCATTGGCTTCAACCACTGATTCAAGACGACTTCTGAATCTCCTGCAACTCTTCTGGACGGTCTCCTTTATTAAGTTGGTGAATGTTGCCATAATCCTTGCCTTCAGTTCATCTTTGGTGCTAAAAGGAGTATTGTTGCGGTCTTGCTCAGTTGCGTCCCACATATAATAATTAATGGACTTACAGTCTGGGGAGTTAAGTGGGCAGATGTAAGGGGTGATGTGGTCGCAGAAATTTCCTGTCAGCTATGATTAGTTTCTCCTGCTTGTGTGTCATGGGGCAGTCCTACTGCTAGATATAGGGTTTTCGAACAGCCACCCTCTTGACCTAGACTAACACTACCACCTAAGGGCACTCGCTGAAGTCCCACGTGTCTGTGGTTATGTGGGAAGATGAATGGAAGATGAATATATATTTATATTATTTTTATTTGCTTGCTATTTTTACTAGAGTTCTTAATTTTGAGTAATTTAAGTAAAAAGAATGCTTGTTTTAAAGGCTTTATCCTTCAGAAATATACTGGGTGACCATTTTTCTTTTGAAAAACACTATATATATATATATATATATATATATATATATATATATATGAGCTAACTTTATTAAATTCAGCCGATAAGGTTTCGACTAAGTTAATGCATAACTGGATCAAAATTGTAGATAAAATTCAAAGAGTACATGATTTTGGTTTAAATCATAATCCAGAATAAAATATCACCATTGTAGACAAAAGTTTTGTTAGTTTTATCCTTGACATTTGAATAAATGTGTATCGTGTTAGTGGATGTGCAACAACTTATGAAAATACAATGAAAATTAGTCAAAGAGACTTTGTCGGTGGAATGTACAGACATTGTTTAAATGATCTTAGTAGCAACACTAGAAAATATATCCATACCGCTTACTGCTTTTTATAGAATTAAGGAAAATTATTTATATTCTTGGACATATTAAACGATCAAAAATTAGATCTCCACGGATCTATTCCAAAGAAAAAGAGGGTGACTGATAAATCATATAGTGCCGTAACATACCCAGTTTGTCAAAGTTGAATAGCTGGTAAAATATAAGTCGAAATAGATCGAAAAATTTGGAAATAAATAAGTCACGTGAGTTCGCAATCTGCTATAGGCGTCAATAGCGTAACGATGACCCAGAACTTAGTTTTACATACCACTGGATTGTAAATTGCATAACGCTTCACGCAGCCGCCGTTATTCGGATGAAAGAAGGAGCTACGAATTATTAGTTCTAATGTTTCGGCAATTCACTCAGAGACAGAAGCCAAGGATTTCTGATAAGTCCACAAGCACAAATACCTATTTACCTAAACACAATGACGCACACGTATTCGTAAAGATATACCTGTAGACAAATGCCTGTATTCAAAATGCAACGCACATATTCTCATATATACATATGCATCTGCATTGTTCCTTTTCGGAGATTTTGTTTGAAACTGAACACCAGGCTCCTCCTCCAAAATAAACCAAAGGATAGTGACCTATCTGGTGGCACCCATCAAAAATCATATCCGGTCTGTTGTTGAAGCGGACAGAAAAGAAAAATGGCAACACACAATAGCCAACAATTGCATTGATAGTGGCTCGCCAACCCTGACTCAGCCATCCCAATACAAACTAGAAGCAATCGTCCAGACATCACCACAACTGCTATGGCTGGTTTCTTCATTTACTCTCTCTTCTGTATTCTTTCGTACACGTTTACCCTTACCCAACAAATATCTTTATTTTGTTCGCCTGCCCGCACCCAACTAGGCCCACTTTCACTGATTGTTAATAAGAGCATCATTCAGCCAACCATGTTAGCCTAGATATAGATACGGTTAGCACAAACGCTGAGGGTGGACCCGGGTAAGTTGGAAATACTTAACTGCTTGCTTTGTGGTCAGAATAGAAAGTTAGAAAAGAATACCAGGTGGTAAGCAGTAGGTGTTTTACGGTTACAAAGACCGTCGGCTTTTGTTAGGGACAATCTTGAATCAAAGCAAACTTATTTATTTTTTATTTACACACAAAACCATAATTTTATTTTCTTTATTTCTTTATGTCGTTTTTGTTGTTGTTGTTTATTGCAGTTACTTTATACATTCTTTCATAATATATCTTTATCTGCTTTTTAACGCCATCTTCTCCCTAACACTTTTCGTTTGTTTTATTTTTTTAGCTTTGCTTCTCCATTTACGCTTTTACATTAACCGCCTTTTTTCTCATATTTCTTCTTACCTCTTTATATCTTTCTTCTTATTCGTTTCGTCGCACGTCTGTCTATTTGTTTTCTGAATTCTTTCCTTCTCTTTAATTTTTCTTGCAAGATATGTTTCCTTTTTCCTATCCCTTTTTACCACACCTTTTCTTTTCTTCCCTTTTTTTTCTTTTTTCTTCCTTCTTTTTTTATTCTTTCCTCCCTCTTTTCCTTTGTCTTTTTTCTTCTCTCTTTTTATTCTTTCCTATTTATTTTTCTCTCCGTTCCTCCTTCTTTTCTATATTTTGTTCACACTTTTTCTTTCATGCTTCCTTTTAGACTGCAACCTCTTCTGTAAGAACTTCTTAGCCTGACACTCAAGCAAGAGTGCCAGGGTAATGGTTAACAAGCTTTTCTAGTTCATCAGTACAGTTTAGTAGTGAGTTTGATCCTCACTCAGCGCCCATGTTAGTGGCCTTGTGACAAAACTAAGTTTAGCTTAATAAATAACACTATCTCTGTCTTCTTCATCGTTCCCCTTTTGATTTCTCTCTCTCTCTCTTCCTTTCTTTCTCGCGTCTTATTTTCTCTATCGCTATTTTTATCTTTCATTACCGCTCGATTCCTATTTTCACATTTTTATTTCTCTATTTTCATTCTTTTTCTCTGTTTTTTTTATTTACTTTTCTACTTAGTTTCTCTCTAATTATCTCCCTCTCTTTACTTTTTCGCTTTTCTACTTTCACTCTCTTTCTTTCTCTCTCTCTCCCTCTCTCTCTCTCTCTCTCTCTCTATCTATCTATCTCTTTCCTTATCTCTCTATCTTTTTTCCTTTTTTCACTGTTCTATTTTTATTCACTATTTTGATTTTCTTTCTTTTATTGTTTTCTACATTCATTCTCTCTCCATCTATCTCTGTTTTGTTAACTTTTCTACTTTCACTCTCTCTCTCTCTCTCTCTCTCTCTAACCTTTTAATTTAATTCAGTTTCTACTTTCATTTCCTCTCTATCTCTTTTGTATTTCCCCTTTACTATTTTTATTCTCTCTTTCCATATCTATCTATCTATCTATCTATCTATCTATCTATCTATCTATCTATCTATCTATCTATCCCAATCAGTATCTATCTATCTATCTATCTATCTATCTATCTATCTATCTATCTATCTATCCCAATCAGTATCTATCTATCTATCTATCTATCTATCTATCTATCTATCTATCCCAATCAGTATCTATCTATCTATCTATCTATCTATCTATCTATCTATCCCAATCAGTATCTATCTATCTATCTATCACACCTTCTGTCTTGCCTTTTACTTTCATTCTCTCTCTTTTGATTTTTTCACTTTATTACTTTCATTTTCTCTCTCTTTTTTCTTTTATCTCCTTTCTGTATTCATTTTCTCTCTCTATCTCTCTTTCTTTTTTCACTTTCCTACTTTCTCTCTCTCGCTCTCTCTTTCTCTCTCTCTCTCTTTCTCTGTGTCGCTTTTTCAGTATTTTTTTCTTTTATTCACTTTTCTACTTTTATTCTGCGTTTTACTTCTTCATCCTTACTTTTTACCCTTTTCTACTTTCATTCTCTTTCTCTCTCCTCCTCCTCCTCCTCCTCTCATTCTCTCTCTAGTTCTTATTTCTGCTATATCTTCATATCTATTTCGTCTTCATCTGAATTCTCTTCTATACGCTTTTCTTCCTCACTACATTATTCTTAACCTTTTACTTCATCCTTTTTTATTCTCTCTCTCTCTCTCTCTCTCTCTCTCTCTATTTTTTCTTCTATTTTTCACTTTTTATCCTTCTCTATCTTTCCCCGTTGTTCTTTCCGTTCTTCTTTCTGAAGTCATAATCTGTTTTCATTGTATTCTCGTTTATATTTTCTTTCTTCCCCCCTCCCCACCATTTGCCATTCTTTACATTCCTTCTTCTTTCTTACATGTTAACCATTCTCACAGCAATACCTCTTTCTTTCGTTTGGTCGAACGATCGGCAACGGCAAAAAGGAAAAATCTACCGGGCGAAACGCAAACGACATGGATCAATAATGATAGTGAATACACCAGCTCCGGTAGGCACGGCCCCTTTAGCTAATCAGCACCACTATATACGATCGGCTTTTCAAATGGCAGTCGTTCAGCCTGGAGACTATAGTGAACTTATGCTACGATGTCCGACCAATTGTTAGACTGACAGATCGATGTCACTAGTGATGGGATAATGTAAATAATCATGCCGATTACAAAACTAATGATGAGGATAATGTATGGGACCAATGATTATGATAATCTGCAATTAGCCCTTTTAGATTTATACGTCTTTTCCTTGAAAACTCTTCGTTTATGTTAACTCGAGTTCACATACTCACAAAAGACCAATATCATATATTTATATATAAATATCGATATTAATATGTATGGGTAGGTAATTCGATATTCTCCTTTGTACACTTTTCTGCTATATCATTATTATTTCTATTCTCATTATTCTTGAGAAGTATTCTATCATACGCAATTCTCCTTCTTTTTCATCTTCTGCTTGTTAGCCTTCTTCTTTACATCCACGTTCACTTCATTTTCTTCTTCCTTCTTTTCTTCTTCCTTCTTTTCTTCTTCTTCTTTTCCTCCTCATACTCCTCCTTCTTTTAGAAAGTTTCTTATTCCTTTTCTCCTAATTATATTTATCCTTGCTTCAATTTCCTTCTCTCTTGTTTTATTTTCCGCTGTTTTTTCTTTGACCGTTCTTTTTAACCATTCCTTTTTTTTTCTTCTCCCTCTTTGTCCTAGGTATGAAAATAAACTACATCCGCGTCCTGGGTAAGACGATAAGCTACATCCGTGTCCAGGGTAAGATGATAAACTACGTCCGACAGCAAGGTCTCTGATCAGGAGGTTTTGAGGAGCGTGGAACCACCTCTTAATTGCTGGTGTTCCCAGGTCCACCCTGACCCGGCGTAGTAGCATCTGTTAGGATCCCAGCTAAGAGCAAATAGTTGAAAATACTATGAAAGTGGAAAAATAAGTTTTAATACCAGCAATAAAATTATTTTAAATAACATATTGAAGTTGATATGCCGTAAAACAAACCAAATCAAGCTAAACCAAGTTTGTTCCCAATTATGCATTTTAGAGATAACCATATCTCTGCAGAGGTAACTTTCAACCAGGTCTGCACAAAATACGGCCTGTGGGCTGCATGTGGCTCGCGAGATTACTCACAGTGGCCCGCGTAGTGGGGTTCAAAATAATTAATGTTTTGTGTTGATCAGAATAAATTCGATGACTGATTAGTTTTGTGGAAACATAACTTGATTCAACCAATATTTCACTGCCTCTGTATCTAACTAATCCCTTTCATTCTATCTCTCTCTCTCACACACACACGAAGAAAAGAATTTTCTCACCCCCTTCTCTGTATATACGTCCATTTCTATCTCACTCACTCTGAGAATACTATTCTCTCTCTCTCTCTCTCTCTCTCTCTCTCTCTCTCTCTCTCTTAGCAGAAAAACAATGAATTTTCTCACCCTCTTTCTCTATATATACGTCCGTTTCTATTTCACTCACTCTGAGAATACTACTCTCTCTCTCTCGTAGGAGAAAAAAGAAAGAATTTTCTCACCCCCCCTTCTCTCTATATATATACGTCCGTTTCTATCTCACTCACTCTGAGAATACTATTCCCCCTCTCTCTCTGTCTCTCTCTTTCTCTCTTAGTAGAAAAAGAAATAATTTTCTCTCCCTCCTTCTCTATATATACGTCCGTTTCTATCTCACTCACTCTGAGAATATTATTCCCCCTCTCTCTCTCTCTCTCTCTCTCTCTCTTGGCAGAAAAAGAAAGAATTTTCTCACCCCACTTCTCTATATATACGTTCGTTTCTATCTCACTCACTCTGAGAATACTATTCCCCCCTCTCTTTCTCTCTCTCTCTCTCTCTCTCTCTCTTGGCAGAAAAAGAAATAATTTTCTCTCCCTCCTTCTCTATATATACGTCCGTTTCTATCTCACTCACTCTAAGAATACTATTCAATTGTTTCATCCAGTTTAGATTAGAATCAAATTGAGCTTTGCAATACTCTGATGATGGGAAGAAACACTTTTGAAACTCCAGCGTAAATGATGGAAATCGGTGGGTATTTGTACGCAGAGAATCGGCATTATTCTGGCATCTCCACCTCCTTTTGGAGAAAGTGGGTGTTGTCGGGAGTGGGGGGGTCAGAAAATCCGACTTCATATTTTAATATTAGTCGTCGAAGAAACACAAGACTGAAAAAGCAGGTAATCCTTTCCAAGGCAGCTTTGTTTTGTTTTTGTTTTTTTTTATTTTTAATTATTTCACCCCGAGCAATGCAACAGAAACACTAACATGTTGAGTGTGGCAGAATATGAGAAAAGCATTATTAAGGAGCGAAATCTTTTAAAAATATTAAATGTTGGAATATCTAAAAAGTATATCCCATAACCAGGAACTAAGACTAAGGAAAAAACTAAATCTAAGCTTTTCTTGCGTAAAAATATAAAAGATGTACCAATTGAGGCTTTCTTAACCATTAAGAAATAAACGATGCACAAATGTGATCTTCATTAAGACATTCCTCCTTTGGGATAAATTAGGTCATTTGTCCCATTTACTCCTGCGAACCCGTGGTTAATTTTCAGTGAACAAAGTATCCCTTCACATTTTTTAATTGCGCATACCTGCTTTAGATAGATAGATAGATAGATAGATAGATAGATAGATAATGAACAGACTGCCACACATAGATAGATAGATAGATAGATAGATAGATAGATAGATAGATAGATAGATAGATAGATAGATAGATAATAAACAGACTGCTCTAGATAGAAAATGAACAGACTACCACACATAGATAGATAGATAGATAGATAGATAGATAGATAGATAATAAACAGACTGCCACACATAGATGATAGATAGATAGATAGATAGATAGATAGATAGATAGATAGATAGATAGATAGATAGATAATAAACAGACTGCTCTAGATAGAAAATGAACAGACTACCACACATAGATAGATAGATAGATAGATAGATAGATAGATAGATAGATAATGAACAGACTGCCACAGATAGATAGATAGATAGATAGATAGATAGATAGATAGATAGATAGATAGATAGATAGATAGATAATAAACAGACTGCTCTAGATAGAAAATATACAGACTACCACACATAGATAGATAGATAGATAGATAGATAGATAATGAACAGACTGCCACAGATAGATAGATAGATAGATAGATAGATAGATAGATAGATAGATAGATAGATAGATAGATAATAAACAGACTGCTCTAGATAGAAAATGAACAGACTACCACACATAGATAGATAGATAGATAGATAGATAGATAGATAGATAGATAGATAGATAATGAACAGACTGCCACAGATAGATAGATAGATAGATAGATAGATAGATAGATAGATAGATAGATAGATAGATAGATAATAAACAGACTGCTCTAGATAGAAAATGAACAGACTACCACACATAGATAGATAGATAGATAGATAGATAGATAATGAACAGACTGCCACAGATAGATAGATAGATAGATAGATAGATAGATAGATAGATAGATAATAAACAGACTGCTCTAGATAGAAAATGAACAGACTACCACACATGCCTGCGTGCGTGCCTGCGTGTGTCTAGTTATATTTATACAGAAAGAATTTACGCAAACAAGTTTTGTTGAATCCAATCGAGAAGGTCTCTCTTGAATATTTTATTCCGTTTCCCCAATTTCTGAATAAGATATTGCACATCGGGTTCAAAATTATAGCAATAGCAATTATTTGCAATAGGTAACGTTTAATTAAACCGTAACTGAAACTTAAGCGAGACACGGTACGTTGCTTATATGTTTTTTTTTCTAACTCTAACATGCGTACTGTGACGTATTCGAAATATTACATAAGTTCAGATTACCTAATGTCTTTTAAGAGTGACTATGTGAAAGGAGCATAAAGAATACTGTGGCACTATTTAGCGGTCGCGTGAAAATGAAAAGCGAGAAATAATTAAGGCGAGAAGAAGCTGAAATAATTATTCGTAAGATATCGGATCTGTCGAATTAATTTATGTTACGGGGCGGCGAATAAGAGATAGCCATCTGCCCATGGCAATAATGAAAGTTTCAATTTGGTCAAGTGGCCTACAAGACAGAATGCTAAGAGATAATGGTAATCAGGCCACCCAAGAGAGAGAGGGAAAGATTAAACCATTAACTATCCTTCGGAGATATCATTTGGTTTTGGGAAAACACCTGTTTTATTGTCCAGACATGTAAGTAGGTAGGCGACAGTAAACATGTGAGAGAGAAGGGAGGGCTATTGACGCCTCTGAGGGGATTGGTGTGACATACCACTATGAGAAAGAAGGGAAACCTCTTGACACCCTCTGAGGGGATTGGTGTGGGATACCAATATGAGAAAGGAAGAATTTGGGAGGACGATTCCCTTAAAGTGGACAGTAATGGACTTCCAAAAATGGAAAGTAATAAATTTTCCTGTCCGAAAAAAAGAAAATCCTTATTGTGGATTTAGAATTATCAAGGAACCTCAAACCCCGACAAGCCCACCCCGGTTTTGGTCGGCGTCCATATAAGCAGAGTCGCAGCGAGTGGACGGCAGTAACACAGAAAGCAGTTGGAAGTTGAGTCAGAGAGAAGTTAGTTGCAGTTGAGCTGTGAGCTCTGAGACCCGCCTCGCAGGAAGCTGACTGATGATCCACGCATCCCGACCTCAACTTCTAACCAAGAACAATTTATTTTTGAAGAACGACTTAGACTCACACCGCCAAAACACGTTTTACGAATATCGCCTGAAGATACACCAAAAACCAGTTTCTTGAAAAAAACAACTTAAGATGTTAAGGCTCGCCTAACAAACGCAAAGTGTCACGTATCCATATTAGCTGTTTGGGAGAAAGACGCAACCAGATATAAAATATTTTTATTCTTTTTTTAACCCATTTGAAATTTTCGAGTTGTTACTTTATTTTCTTTTACATATACTTGTGCGGTGTTACCTTTGCTCAGACTCGGCCTGCATTACGGCCCGGCGACTGATTGATTTCGTCTACCTAAGATCAAATCACAACGTGGGTAAGTTAGACTAGAAATCAAAGCAGTTACTTTGGTAACCAGACGTTGGAGACGAACTGGGAACGACAAAGCTGATACCGAATCTAACCAGATTCCCATCCGAATCAGCAAAAGGTTAGGACGTCACATTTGGTGTCGCGACCAATACCAAGCCAGTTTGTCGTCACAGGATAGAACGGCGACGGCGCGGAGAGAGGTCAGGGGGTGACGTCACAATAGTGATTTTAAAGGAAAATAAAAATTACGCTCAAAATAAACGTCAAACAACGGAGATCGTATACAAAAGAAAGCTTGTGTCGAATAAAAATAAAATGAGTTTATTATTTATAAATTCTTATAACTTTTACGTACATAGGACGCAGAAGGTAAAAGGCCTAATGTCCAAAAGCCCTCCACAGGAGCTAGTCTAAAATCTGCGCGAAGGTTGGCTAAAAGCTAGCCTAAAAGGCTAGTTATGAATTTCTGTTTGTTATCAGTGTGGTATACAAAATTTCTTTGGCTACATCCTGACGTTTCTTGCAGAATTGGAATACATATCACTCCAAAGTGACGTCATGTATAACAGTCAAATGGAGGTAGACTACATCGAGAGAGATTTTGTTTCACACTTTAAGTGTCTTCTGCGCAGCCATACCCATTTAATTCCATTCTCAATTCCCCCCGTCTGTCTCTTGTCTCTTGAATCCAGTCTATATTTTCCATTTTGCGTTTGTTTTCTTGTTTCCTAGCTTTCTGGTGAACAATTCCACCACAAAAGATGGCATCCCAGAGCATGAGAGAAATGGAAAAAAGAAGTAGATAACAGATGAAATTATTGAATTAATTCAAAATCAGACAGCAGATAAAATCAAATAAGAACACAGCACGAAGGACGTCAAGACGTAGGAGACATGTATAAAAAATATCAAAAAATAGCAGAAGAGAAAAAATATTATTCGACAGGATGTATAAAAACAGAGTAAAATATATGAACCCTCTTCTTACTTATTATAAAACGCAGATTGTGTGTGTGTGTGCGTCTGTACGTTTATATATTGGATCGGATTTCCTACATTTTTCAACCGATTTCAACAAAACTCCACAGGACTACATAAAATTACCTTGCGGTGGTTCTAACAGCGCCAAAAATTGGAAAAACGCAATTGTTTTTGCACAAAATCAATTTGAAAACACGATTAAGAGGAATCGCAAGAGTGAAAGGGGGACAACTCATATCGAGTTATACTTATTATAAAACCCAGGTTGTGTGTGTGTGTGTGTGTGTGTGTGTGTGTGTGTGTGTGTGTGTGTGTGTGTGTGTGTATATGGGATCGGATTTCCTACATTTTTCAACCGGTTTCAACAAAACTTCACCTTTTTGGCAGGTAGTGTTCCTTATTGTCTTGCACACTTTTTTCTTTATTTTTACATTCAGAATGCTTTAAAAATTCCATTTACAAGACAATTGTTTATAATAAAATTCTATTCAATCGATAGACTCATAACGATTGAAAACAATGTTTTCATTTGAGTTTGGGTTTGACAAATTCTTTAAAAAAAATAAAATAAAAAATAAAAACAAAAAAACTAATTAAGACATGCGTGTCCGTCAACCTTAAACAATAATCTTTGTCAATTTTATTTTTCAGTCTTTATGATGGTCGATACTTGATCTATCTCGAACTGTTACATCCCCGGGCAACGCCAGGCTCTACTGCTAGTAATAGATTAAAAGCAGATACTTCAAAGATAAAACTATTACATCAGAGAGATATCCCATGACAACAAAAGAATCAAACCTATACGACATTAAAACATGGAAAGGCTCGGTGTAACACATTCTGAGGTAAGATGAAGGGAAACTAAGAAATCTGACCCGATAAACAATAGAGATGATGACAGCTTTAAACGATTTCGGGATTGATT